AACACAACAAAAACACCACCCCGTCGGGCACCTTCCTCCCAGTTCTTCTCCGGACCCCGTGACTGTAGTCACGTGGCAGTCCACCTCGCTGAGGGCCTCCGGTTGTTCTCAGCCCCTCCACGTTACCCAGCAAGGTGTCCTCCTTCAGGGCTGGTCTGTGCTGACAACATCTCCAAAATAACCAAGACGAAGTCTCGCCATCCTTGCTTCTTCTAAGAAGCATTCTGGCTGTACTTCTCTGTACTTCTTCGAAGACAGATTTGTTCTTTTGGAAGCCGAGGTACTTTTCAATATTCTCTGCCAACATCATAGTTCAAATGCATTGATTTTTCATCAGTCTTCCTCATTTAATGTCCAACTTTTACATACAGGTGGTGACTGAAAATACCATGCCTTGGGTGAGACGCAGCTTGGTCCTCAAAGTAACATCCTTGCTTTTCAACACTTAAAAGAGGCCTGGGGCTGCAGATTTACTCAACGCAACACATCATTTGATCTCGACTGCTGCTTCCCTGAATATCCACTGTCAATCCAAACAAGATGAAATCCTTGACTACTTCAGTATTTTCTCCATTTATCATGATGCTATCTATTGGTTGTGGTTTTCTTTAAAATGAATTGTAATCCACACTCAAGGATGCAATTCTTGAACTTCAGCTACAAGTGCTTTAAGTCCTCCTCATTTTCAGCAAGCAAGGTTGTGTCATTCCCATATAGAATTTTAATAAGCTTTCCTCCAATCCCGAGGCCACGTTTTTCTACATATAAGCTGGCTGCTCTATTTGCTCAGCATACAGATTGAATACATATGGTAAGAAGATACAACCATGACACACACCTTTCTTGATTTTAAACCATGCAGTATTCCTTTGTTCTGTTTGCACAACTGCCTCTTGATGCATGTGCAGGTTCCACATGAACACAATGAAGTGTTCTGAAATTCCCATTCTTCTTAAGGATATCCATAGTATGTTATGATCCACACAGTCAAATGCCGTTGCACAGTCAATGAAATACAAGTTAATATCTTTCTGGTAATCTCTACTTTCAGCCAAGATCCATCTGACAGTAATAATATTCTAGTTCCACATCTTCTTCTGAACCTAGCCTGAATCACTGGCAGGTCCCCGTAAATGTACTGCTACAACCTTTATTGGATGATCTTAAGTAAAATTTTACTTGCATGTGATATCAATGATATTATTCTAGAACTTGAGCATTTTGTTGGGCCACCTTTCTTTGGAATGGGTACAAATATCGTTTTCTTCCAGTCAGTTGCCAAAGTAACCTGTCTTAAAAAAGTTCTTGGCATACACAAGTGAGTGCTCCCAGTCCCCTTCATCAGCTTGTTGAAACACTTCAATTGGTATTCCATCAATTCCTGGAGCCTTGTTTTGGGCTATTTTTAGCTAATGCTGTTGGTGCACCTTGAACTTCTTCCTTCAGCACCACTGGTTCTTGCTCATATGCTGCCTCCTGAAATGGTGGAATGGCAACTACTTCTTTTGATACAGTGACTCTGTGCTTCCTGCATCATTCAATATTTTACCCATAGAATCTCTCAAAATTACAACTCAAGCCTTGACATTTTCTTGTGCTCCTTCAGTTTAAGACATGGGAAGCATGTTCTTTATTTTTCATTTTCTAACTCTAGGTCTTTGCACATTTTATTCTAATACTTAGCTTTGGCTTTTCCAGGTCCTCTGTGACGTTTTCTATTGAACTCTTACTTCGTCATTTCTCCCATTTGCTGTAGCTACTCTACGATTGAGAGCAAGTTTCAGTGTTTTCTGATATGCATGCTGATCGTTTACTTCTCTGCTGTCTTTTTAATGTCCTTTAGCTTTCTTCAAGGGTGTTGTTTTTGATGTCATCCTACAGCACATCAGGTCTTCTGTCATTAGTGTTTAATCCATCCAATCTGTTCTTGGGATGTCCTTGAAATTCAGGTGGGAAGGACTCAAGGTGTGTTCTGGCTCTCATAGGCTTGTTTTCATTTCCTTCAGTCTTAACCTTGCTAACACAGACACCTTAAATGGGTTACACAGATGATGACAAAAAGTCTTCAGGTGACGGACTTTGCTGCTTTCAGTGCCTCAACTCTTGGAACCCATGCAGAAAAAATGCTCTCTTATTTAATTCTCTCTTTTATTAGATGCTTTCTCAATTCCTGGCTTTGGCAACCTCTAGAGCTAACTCGTAGTTAATTTTAAAAATATTGGTCATCAGTGGGGAGATAGTCATAAAGGTCAACGGATAGTCCTGAATTATGTATGCTTTTTCTTTTTCTTTTCTTCTCTTTTTACTTAATCTTTTGTCTTGTCTCTGTTATTCTTGTTTTGCCTACCAATATAAGATAGGCATGGGAAGCAAACCTGAGGAGAAAACAACAGACTGACAGTTCCGGAGGGACCTCTGGGGAGGAGGAGGCAGGGGGAAGGAGCAGTGAGCAAACAATGCCATGGACAGGGGACCTACTAGGGAATTAAAAGCAACAAAGAGGAGGACATAGAGATTCCAGTGGTGTTGGAGCAACAGCAATCTAGCTGAGAGGATTTACTAAGAGGTAGAAGGGTGAGCATGATGGTAGGGCAAGAGGAAGATAAAGGAAACAGAGAAATGATCTGGAAAGCAAAGCTATGGATAACAGGTATAAACATAGATGTGCACATACATAAGTATAATGATTCATACAAATAGAGGTATTGGCCTATGTACAAAGATTTATATGGCAATAGATTGAGAAAATGGACGGACTTTTGGCCTGTGCTCAAGCATTCCCTCAATGCAAGAACATTTTGTTCTAAAAATCTGGCATCCTGTGATGCTCACTCTCCTAACACAATTGCTGAAGACATAATGGGTACATACACGAACGTGATGAAGAAAGCTGATGGTGCCCAGCTATCTAAAGATACAGTATCTGGGGTCTTAAAGGCTTGAAGTTAAACAAGCAGCCATCTAGCAGAGAAGCAACAAGCCAACATAGAAGAAGCACATCAGCCTTTGCAATCATGAGGTGTTAACAGAATCAGGTAACAGGCACCAGAAGACCAAAAACAAACAAACAAACAAACAAACAAACATATTGTTGACAATGAGGGGACAGGAGCAGAGAATCAAAACCCATCTGGAGACAATAGGACATCCCCTCACAGAAGGGTCACAAGGAAGGGATGAGTCAACCAGGGCACAGTATAGCACAATGAAACACAATATTCCTTTGTTTATTTGAGGCTTCCTTACCTCCCACTATCATGACCCCAGTTCTGGCTAGGCTGGAGCATGTACACTGGTACAGATAAAAGCTCATGACACAAGGAATCTAAGTCAGAAACCCTCAGGAACAGAATCAGGAGTAGCAATACCCCGAGGGTAGGGAGAAGAAGGGAGGAAGGGGGAACTGATCACAATAGTGGACATTTAATCCCCTCCCCACAGGGGGATGAACAATGGTCAGTGTAAGACAAGAAAACAATAATAATTTATAAGTTATCAAGGGGTCAAGAGAGTAGGTGGGGGGATGGAGAAAAGAGGAGCCAATACCAAGGGTTCAAATAGAAAGCAAATGCTTAGAAAATGATGATGGCAACATATGTACAAATATGCTTGTAACAAATGATGTATAGAATGTTATAAGATCTGTAAGAGCCCCCAATAAAATGATTTTAAAAATATTTACATATCTATATTGGTCAAGCTCCCCACTTCAATAAAGAAATATCCAGACCCCAATCCATGCTCTACTTATTTTATGTACTAACTATAATACAATTTTCTTATTACAAAGAGTTTTTAGCTTGGAACGTGTGGTAGTCACCTAATCTGGTGTTAATTTAAGGATTAAGAGTGTAGGAGTGGAGTCCAGGCTGTCAATCTGGAGATAGCCAATGAGACTTCTGTGGGCATGGCCTTCTCCTGAGATTCTGGGAAATCTGGTACTTCCTCCTTGGAGGAAGATACCTTTTTCTCTCTGCAAATCCCTGGGAGACATTGCAGAAGACAAGTCATATGGATGCAACCAGACCTCTCAAGCCGGAGAAGCTCCAGAGAGATGCCTGCCAGCGCTGAGATGCTTGCAATGCCACTGGGTCCAAGGACTTTCTACCCACTAGTATGTGATCTTCTATATTCGGCATCATTACATATGTTTCATGAGTCTGATGAGGACTTTATAGATTGGTATCGGACATATGGGCTAATTTTGGACTTATGGACTTGATGTGGACTGGGCTGGGAGGTTTTCTCAATGTTCAATTGCTCTCATATATAAATCTCTTTCTTATACACATATGTGTGTCCATGGATTTGTTTCTCTAACTACCCAGACTAATACAGAGGCTTTTAGAAACTATCTAATCCAATATTATCATTATATAAAAGAAGAACTAGAATTTCTGGCAGATACAACTTTGATAAAGCAAAAGGTCTGACAATCCTTTGGAATTAACATATGTAAAGCATCTAAAAACTTTCTGAATATTATAAAAATGTAGATGCACATGTCACTCTATCTACTTCTACCTTGTTCGAAATACTGTGAATCCAAATTAGTTTTTAAAAAAGACAACATGAAAAGAAAGCAAGATTTTGAAAATTAAAGGCTTTCTGGTTAGAAAAGTTCAATAATAGCACAATAAAACATTACTACACATACAGAGTTTTCTTCTTCCTACCATCCAAGTATGCCCTATTCATCCTCCTAATATTCTGTAACCTAAGGTAGAAAATTATTCAGAAAAGATAAAATTTACACACAGAGAGCGACATTAATTTTAAAATTCCAAAAACATTAAACCTCTTAAAATGTTTCTCTGTGACAGACGAAGTGCTCAATGCTGACCGTATACAGCTAGTGAAACAGGCGCAGCAAGATAAAGATTATGAAACAGTGGCAAAAAATATCTAGTGATGGCATTAAATTTAAGATAGCTAACTCAGGACTGTATATCTTAGGGGAAATTATTCACATGAATTTGTGCAGATTTAGGTTAACATACCTATTGTTGTTCCAACAATTTCGACAGTTAACGCACTCCAGTGGGTCGGTCTGAGGTACTGCTTTGTACATTCCTCCGCCCTTGTCAGAAGGAAGTTCAGGGAAAAGAAGAGAAGAAAGCTCAGCGTGCCTCAGACCAGTAACCGAATCATCCCCAATCTAAACCCACATCAATAATAAATAAATGGATTCTGTATGGCAGCGCAGCTCCTGGAGCAAGGATGTGCCCACTATTCATTCACCTGTGTCCACAAAGGAGTTCTGTGGAGGTTCAGCACAATATTAAAACCATACTTCAAAAAAGAAAACTTACTATCATGTTTCCCCATATTTTTTGGTACTGGAAGAACACAAGTAAATGAAATTTAGTCACTTCCCTTCAGGACTTCCAATCTAACCCGAAAAGTATACATTTTCAACTCCGATTTCAATCTTTCTCTCCTAGCAGCCATGGAAGAAATTTTATGTGCTTTCTGTAGGAGAAATGGGGTGTGAAGCTGGTTGGAATGATGTCACAAGATAAACCCATCTTCATTTCCCTGTGATTATTGAGATTAGGGATGTTCACTTGACTACAGTACATTTTACAACAGGCCATATTTTCCCAGATGGGATTGACTGCTAGCCAGCAAGGATGTGGAGGTAAGTATTATATTTTGGGGTTGTTTTTGGAGGAAACTGCCCAGCAATGAAGCAAACTGCCCAGATTAACACATACCTCATTGTGAAATGTTCACTTGACATTCACAAATGGCCAGAGTTCTTCGAAAACGAAGGTAAAAATTTAACTGGCTTTACGGCCAGAGTCAGAATGTTGCTTTGAGATGAAAAAAAAAAAGGCAGAACTGAATCTTATAGGGTGGGAGACGTTCAACTGCATCCAAACTCAAAGCGGGACTTCAAGGACAGGAAAGGTTTAGGTGATTGTTTTTTTAGAATACTTTCCATTCATCTTTTAGCAATGGCCAGAGTCTAAGCAAACCAGAATTACTGAAATTTTCTCTCAGCAATCCTGATTCAACTAGCAATGAAAATATTGAAAGACTCTCCGTATGCTATATTCAGTCCATGAGGGCAAACTCAAAAAATGAAGTTAGTCGTTGGTAGGCTAATAGAGTTATTTGAATCACTAAGCAAAAATTCAATGGTTTTTATAATCAATAACTTTTAAAAACTTCCCAACATCCTCATTCCTAGAAGAGTAGAGTAAGAACACTAATGGGTTAGAATCACAGATGTTAACTTCTAAAGCTGCACACCTAATGGAACAATTACTATTTAAAGAGCAACTTACTGTGTAAAACAAACAAAAACACACCAACATACCATGTGTTCAAATACTAAAGCAAACATTTGCCTTACTTAGCTTCTTATGTTAACAGCATGTGCTATTACAACTTTAATACACTCACTCCCCTTCAATTTTCTTGGGCAATGTTAGTATTTTGGACCAGGAATGGTGGCCAAAAAAAGTTTAGAAAGTCTGAATATAAGATGTGTTTCCATACAAAATAATCAAATCATTATTCTCTCTTCGTAATAAGATGCACTAAAGCAAACTTAATATTTTTTTCCTACAACACCAAAAAGCGAGGCCAGATAAAAGGCACTAGATTTCTGACTTTAGGATACAAATCACACTATTTTGGTTTTCAAATGTAATATCTTAATAACATTATTAAGGTTACAGATGAAAACAACTTTAAACTTCTTTAGAGTTTAATACTGCGATAAATTCATCAGTAATAAGACAAATGTCAAAGACTACATTGAGTGTTTAATTTTGTCAACTAAACAAATTATCTATCTAGCGGATGAATAATAGAGACACACATACAATATAAAAAAGTCAAACTTTCTAGGAAGAGGATCTCTTTCTTCAACCAGCATAAATCTTAAACATACTAGCTGTCCTATTCCCATTTCTACAATTCAGCTCTATCATCTAATTACCCCATTAATAAAACCTTTTTAAATGTTTCTCGATCTTGTGTCTACAAAAGGTGGTTGTTGCTGTGAAGTGGGTTTTGATTCGCGGCGACCCTTTGTCCAATACAATGAACCACTGCCCGTTCCGGCACCATCCTCACAATTGTTGTATTTGAGTCCACAGTCGCAGCCAGTATCGATCCAACTCACTGAGGGTCTCTCTAATTTTCACTGCCCTTCTACTTCACTAAGCATGAGGTCCTTTTCCAGGTACTGACCTCTCCGGATAACATCCAAAGCACCCAAGAAGGAGCTTTGCCATTCTCCCTTCTAAGGAGCATTCTGGCTGCACGTTTCAGACCTACGTGTTTGTCCTTTCTGAGTCCTTGGTACTTTCAATCTTCTTCGCCAGCACCACAATTCAAATGCATCGGTTCTCTTCAGGCTTCCGTATTCACTGTCCCCCTTTCACACGCATGTGAGGCACTGAAAATGCCATGACCTGGGTCAGGCACACCTTAGTCCTCAAAGTGACAACCTTGCTCTTCCACACTAAAGGTCTTGCGTAGCAGATTCTCCAACACAATTGGCTATTTCTTGTCTGCTTCCTCCATAAGCACTGACTATGCATCAAAGTAAGATAAACTTATGGACGTCAACATTTTCTCCACTTACCACGGTGTTACCTATTGGTCCAGTTGTGAGAATTTATTTTCTTTACATGGAGCTTTATCCAGTTTGAAGGCTGCCGTCCTTGATCTTCATCGAAAGTGCTCCTCGCTTTGACTAAGCAACGTTATGCCATCTTCATCTCGCAGGTTGCTGCGTTTTTCTTCACGAAGTCCAGCTTCTCTGAATATTTGCTCACCATGCCGACTGAATAAGTACAATGAGAGGATACTGCCTCCGTGCATACCTCTCCTGATTTTACACCCCGCAGTATTCCCTTGTGCTGAGTGGTTGCCACTTGATCCATGCACAGGTTCTACACGAGCACATTAAAGTATTCTGGATTCACAATCGTATAAGCTATCCCATATTTTGGAATTCCCATGGCTATATATGCTATCCATAGGTTTTTATGATTCACATAGTTGAATGCCATTGTATTGTCACGAAAACACAAACAAACATCTTTCTGGTCTTCTCTGCTTTCAGCCAAAATTCATAAACTGTCAGTGATGAAATCTCTTGTTCCACATCCTTTATTGAATCTGGCTTGAACTTCTGGCAGCTCTTTGCTGGTGTACTGCTGCAACCGTTATTAAATGATCTTCGGCACAATTTCACTTCCTCTTTTTTACTGCCCTTTTACTTTACCTGGCATGTCTACTGATAACATGTTCAAAGTACATGAGACGAAACTCTCACCATCTGAAGGGAGACTTAGGACAGTGTAAGATATGACAAAAAAATAATTTATAAATTATCAAGGGCTCATGAGGGAGGGGGGAGTGCGGATGGAGGGGGAAAAGTGAGGAGCTGATACCAAGGGCTCAAGTAGTAAGCAAATGTTTTAAGAATGATGATGGCAACAAATACAAATGTGCTTGACACAATGGATGAATGTATGGATTGTGATAAGAGTTGTACGAGCCCCCAATAAAATTTTTTTTTTTTTTAAATCTCACCA